TACGTACCTGCTCTGACTTTCATGTCCCACGTTGTCACCGTCTAGTTTTTCTGAGAGAATAGCATATAAAAGGTGAGATAATGATGAGATGTAAATGCATGCCAATACAGGCAAACAGAAATATCACTGCTCATTTACAAGATTATCATCTCACATTTTGCATCCTGTATGGAAAATTGAACTCTATGTTAAGAATCTCATTTTTGTTTTGATCTCACCATATTTTCCCAACTCACTAACTAATGCCCACATCATTCAGCAGCTGGAAGAATTCCACCATTTATTTCTCAAATTATCAGCCTGTGTTCCTTATGTCCCATATGCTATTTACAATGCTGAACGATGTGGGCATTAGTTAATGAGTTGGGAAAACATGCTGACATCAAAACAAAAATGAGATTCTTAACATAGAGTTTGATTTTCCATACAGGGTGCAAAATATGAGATGATAATCTTGTAAATGAGCAATGATATGTCTGTTCGCATGTGTGGCGTGCACTTACATCTCATCATTTGAGAAGTAAATACCAATACCAATGTAAATTCCAATACATAGATTTACTTGTGGCTGAAATGTGGTAGTCCTACAAAGATAATTTTATTGGGTCATAAATATCCACATAATTTCCAGGAAAATAGACAAAACAAGGCTGATAATGTTTCAGTCTACAGAATTCTAATGATCAAATCTACACGATGTGTTATTTTGCAACACACAGAATATTAGTCCTAGTTTCATTATTGATTAACCATACCTTCTCAATTCATACCAGATATGTAAACTTTATGCCAGGTTACATCCAATTGTTTCTGAACTTCCTTCATTAATATAACTCCCTATGCTAGCAATCCCATGATGTTACTTGCCTCTGCCAAGTTGTGTGCCTGTTATGTTATATATTATCTCACAGACATTATCAATTTCCTGAACTTAATGCTCCAACATCACTTCCCTTGCTCCTTCTTACCTTTCTATGTTCCATTAACATTACTTCAGTCATTTCTCTTTAAACTTTCCTGCCTTGTTGCTCTTGCAATGCTTTCACAGTGCAACCTTTTTGGGACAGTGCAAAGCAGTCTTAGCTTCATGAAGACAGTAAACTTGTGCAATGCAATTGTCTATAAAGGCCTGAACTGGCTCCAAGGTGAATTACATGGAATTTTCAAAAAATCCAGCCATTCAGTGCAACTGGGCCTATCATCCACAAGAGCCACCTGCTATCTAACTCTGCCTGTTAACACAGCTTCTATTTCTCATCTATGTCTTTGTCTAGTTTTCTCTTAATTGCATATCTGCTATTTGCCTCAAACACTCCATGTGGCAGCAGCTTCCATTTCCCCACCACTCTCTGGGTAAAGATGTATGCCATAAATTTCAGTGACTCTCTACTCTGTTATTATCCCTCAATTTGGTGACAGTAATGCCTTGATAGCAGGTTTTAGCTGTATATGCAGTATGACTTCAGTCTCAATGCAAATGAGGGCTTTGGTAATGACGTGACCTTGTATATCAAATGGATCTTTAAGATCCATTACACTATCCTAAATATTCTTCTTCAGGTGTGGGTCTGTATTGGAATCAAGGCATCACATTGAATTGGTATGTGAATCATCCTTTTTCAGGTCTTCTGAACTCAAGCTAAAGAAAGTATACTGCTGACGTTGTAAATTGTAAACAGGAAATATAAAATTCTGGAATCCTCAACGAGTTAGGTAGCATCTTTCAAAGCAGAGGTTAACTTTGCAGGTCAATGACTTTTCATTCATTGAGCTGAAATATTAACACATTTTCTTTCTTTGCAAGATGGAACTTTCCTTTGGGTTTTACAATCAAATATTAGTATTGGTAAACTATTAACTTGTCAATTTATTTTATGTTCTCTCCTACAATTTTCAGCCTTGATGTGTTATGTGTTGTGAACCTCAGATTTCTGATCAAAAGTGATAGGAAAATAGAATCATACAATGGTTACAGAAAAGAAGAAGACCATTTGTTCCATCATGTCTGTTTCATATTCGCTTCAGAAGAGAACTCCTACTGCTTTACCATTTCCCTGAGCACTGGAAAGGTTTTCTTTCCACATATTAACCAAATTTCTTTTGAATTCTCTTTTGAAGCCTCAGTTAAATCCATCTCCACCACACTCTCAGGTAGTTGTAGGTCCCAGCCACTCAAAATGTAAGAAAGTCTTTCTTTTCGTAACTATTGCTTATTTTGTTAATGACTGTAAATGAATGTCCTCTGGTTCTAGATGTTTCCACCAAAGGGACCAAGTTTTCTTTGACTACTCCATACAGATTAATCATGGTTTTGAATAGGTATGAAATCTCCTTTCAGTCTTCTTCTCTCCAAGGAAAAAAGCTACAGCTTTTCCAAACAGTCCAATAATTGAACTTCCACATCCCATGTGGATTCATTCTCATGAATCCTTTTTACTCCATCTTAAACACATTTTCATCTGTCCTAAAGTGCAGTGTGCACAATTACACTCAATCCTCCAGCTGAGGTCAATCTAATGTTTCACACAGTATTAACATAATTTCCTTGCTTTCGTGCCAAACCCTCTATTTATACAGCTCAGAATCCTGTATGCTTTACTAACCACATTTCAAACTGTCCTGCTACCTTCAATGCGTTGTGCCCAGGTCCCTCTGTTCCTGCATTCCCTTTAGAATTGCAACTTTCATTTTAAAATGCCTCTCCTCATTCTTCCCATGAAAATGAATCAAATGACTCCTCCCTGCATTAAATTGCATCTGCTAATTGCTTGACTGTACAACTGTCCTTTTGTAGCTTAAAATTATCCTCCTCGTATTTCATAATATTTACAAGTTTTTTTGTCACCTGCAAATTTTGAAATTATGCACTGAATACTCGAGACTAGCTATTTGATGTGTGGCAAGAAAAGCACTGTCTTAGAATTAACAGTTGGTCTGCAAAACAATTGGTCACTATTAGTCTCTGTTCCCTGTCACTCAACCAATTTTGTATCCATGTTGCTAATGTCCTTCTTTATTCCATGAGTTCTAACAATACTCACAAGTCTGTTGATTGGCATCTTGTCAAATAAATTTTGTCAGTTCACGTCCACAAGATCAAATGCACTGCCCTCACTAATCCTGTCTGTTACTTAATCAACAAAAACAAGTTAGTTAAACACAATTTGTGCTTAAAAGATCCGGGCTAGCTATGCTCAATTAATCCACATATCCTAAGTGACTGCTCCTCATTAATTCCCTCTGTTACATAATCAACATACTTAACAAGCTAGTTAAACAGAATTTGCGCTTAAAAGGTCGATGCTTTAAAGGTCCTTTGTTTAGTTGATCCAAATATCCTAAGTGATCATTAACTTTGTCCCAAATTCTCCTCTCTAAGGCTTTCTGCATTACCAAGATCAAACTAACTGATTTGTAATTGTTTGGCTTATCCTTAGATCTTTCATCGAACAAGGATGTAACATTTGCAATTCTCCAGATCCTAGGGCCAACACCCATATCTAAATTGAATTGAAAGTTTATGGTCAATGCCTCCACAATTTCCATTCCTATCTCCCTCAATATCTTTAGATGCATCTCATCCAATCAGGGTGCCAAATCAACTTTAACAACAACCACCCTATTCAATAACACCATTTTATCAATGTTCAGTCTACCCATTATTTCAGTTACCTCTATCACAATGACTCAGACTGATTCTTCTTTCTTTTTAAAGACTCATTTTAGTACCTCAGCCATGACCCAGTCTCCATTTATAAATTCATTTTTTTGGTCTAAAACCTTTGTTTTCGTTTTCTTCCCACCTTTATGTCTGCAGAAGACTTCTGGAAACTTTACTCATTCTCATTTTCACTCTGAACATTTTATATTGAAAATGGTTCTCAATAGTGTTATCTACCTGAATACCAAATTTGTTGGTGTTATGTTTATTATCTATAGCGTTCATCATCCAAATAGCTCTGCATTTATTTGCCATACCTTTCCCCTATAATAGATGTACCTGACCATACTCAGACTGTTCCCTCTTTTAAAATAGTCCATTGTTCGGTTCCGATTTTGCCAGTCAATCTTTGATTCTAATGTATCTGTCCCAGATCTGTTCTCACCTAATCACAGTCAGCCTCCCCCCAACTAAATATTTTTTATTTTAAGTTATTCTGTACCTAGCCTAAATGTTTTAGTACTATAATCACTGTCCCCTAAGTGTTCACCTCTGACACTTGGTCCACATAACAGACCTCATTCCCCATAACCAAATCTAACAGTGCCTCTTTCCTCAATGGACTGGAAACAAACCGATGGAGAAAATCCCTTTGAACACACTCGAGAAACATTTGCCCCTCTCTGTCCTTTATTCTATCCTAGTCTGTATTTGGATAGTTGAAGTCTCTCATGATAATTAGTTATAGTTGCTGCATTTTTCTGCATTTTGCAAATTTATCCCTCAGATTGTTTCCCATATAGATGGCAGCCAACAGAATGTACTCAGTAATGTAAAGGTAAACTATATTGTTGCTTAGCTCTAGCTAAGTAGATCCTTTCTTTGACAACTGGGATATCCTGTTTTTGTATCCTCTAATGCTGCCTTTAATGAATACTGCTGCCCCTCATCCTTTCTTTCACTATTTTTCCTGAAGACCAATATTTGGACCCAGGCCTCACCTTTGTTGAGCTACAACATTATATTTCCATGTAGCTACCTGCACTTGCAACTCAAAAATCTTGTTTGCCACATACATGGACAGCAAACATAATGTAGATCTTACTACTACTGTCTTAGTCTGCCCCCACCTTATACCTCATATTTCTCACTTTAGTGCTACCTATCTTTCTATGTTCTCTAGGCTCTGTCGTTTTCCTCTCGAGTATCACCTCCAGATTCCCAAACACCTGCTTAGCATTGGCAAATTAGCCTGCAACGGTAGAAAATGACAATTTTACTCAAAAGTGACGTAACTGTTTGATAGAGAAACAAATATAACTCAGTAACAAAGTCCTACCTTTTTCAGTTTGATTCAATAAATGTTGATCACAGTTTGCCTTTTCTGCAATAAGGAGGTATATCTGTTCTTCTTTGGTAATTACACCACTGGCATTAATCTAGAAAACGCAAGATTTTGAAACAATAATTTACATAATAAAGAAATCAAAATGGGAATAAATGATACTGGAAATGATTCAGAAAGTTTTGTTGCAACTGGAATCTCATACACAAATGGAAAAATGGTTCTATATGTTATTTAAATCTTGACATTACAACATTGAATTTGTTCTCTGTTTGTGGTGAAAGACAAATATGTCTTTTTATTAAAACTGTGTGATACAACTTCTGATCATTGATCAGTAACATCACCACCTTCTGAGCGTGAAGATTTGAACAAATTATGATTTCTCATGAAATCCAAAATAGAATGCTAAGTTGTATGTGAGGTTTTGTTGTTTGACCCTGCTACAGGAAGATAAAGTGTAAATACCAATTAAAGTCACTGTTCAACAACTATATCTGTATTTGTAACATGTAAGTGGAAAGATCTTTCCAAGAGCTGAAGTGATTTTTCATCAGTGTGAAACAGCAGTGCCATCTGTCCTGCCATACTGTCACTGTACCTCACCCCTGAGGAGTGAGAAATTAGTCACAGAAATGCAGATTATTCAATCAGACAGAAAGTAAGAGGAGATGCTTTTGTTTCATTAACATTTTTGGAAGACCTCACTTTTCTCTGTTTAATGAGCAATTATTTTTAATTATTTTGCAGCAGATTCTGAAGTATAAGGATGGCACGGATTGGAACCACTTCCTGACTTCCTGCCTTTTCCTTCCAAATCTGTAATAATCATCGAGATAGCATTGCTACACGTCCAACCAAGACTTGGGAATGTAACATGTGAGGGTTTATGGTTAATCACTTGCTAATTAAATAAGTAAAACCAAACCCCTTTTGTTTTCCCTCAAAACTCTTTTTTTACACATCAATTTTCTCTTCTTCCCCCACCCTCCTGAAGCCATGACTTTTGTACATTTTTAAAAGTTGTTCTGGGTAAATGAGGGTGGTTGTCAAAGCCAGTAAGTGTTGCCCATCCCTAATTAGCTGTCAGAAGTGGTGATGAGCTGTCTTTGTGAAATAAAAACCACTGAAGCTGCTGGAAATCTGTAATAAAAACAGAATATTAAAAAAAACAGTAGATCTGGCAGCATTTGCAGAGAGAGAATAAAAAGAAACATTTCATTAGTTGTAGTTTCAGGGGTAACAGGTAGCAGATTTAAAACAGAGATGAGGAGAAATTATTTCACTTAGAAGGTCATCAATCAGTGGAATTTTGCTACCCCAGAGTGCAGTGGCCGCTGGAACATTGAGTAAATGTGAGCAGAAGATAGACAGATTTGTGAATAGTAATGGGTTAAAGGTTTACGGAGAGGGGGCAGGAAAGTGGAGGAGAAGCCGAGATGATCGTATCAAATAGCATAGCAGGCTCGAGGGGCTGAATTGACTGCCCCTGCTCTTAGTTCGTATTTCAAGCTGATATCCTTTCACCATGAAGAAATGTATCAAATATTGAGATGGAAAAAAGAGGAGGGGGAGATGCAGGAAAAAAAGAATGCAAAGGAAAAGTCATGACTGAGTAGAAGGTAATAAAAGCGAAAATGCAAAGACTGCAAGGCAAAAGCAAAGGGGCAAGTAAAGAAGGAATAAAATGTGTCTCAAGGTGCAAATGAAAAGAATGGAAACATCAACAGTTACAACAAATGGAATTTACACAGATGTTATGATCTGAAATTGTTGAACTCAATGTTGAGTTCAGAAGGCTGTAATATATCTAAACAAAAGATGAAGTGTCGTTCTGCAAACGCCCATGAGTCTACAAAGGAACAGCTGAGGGCAGAGAGGCCAGGGAATGAAAATGACAGGGGACCCAGAATCTCAGAGTCCTGATGGTGGACTGAATGGCAATGTGCCATAAAAGTGGCACCAAACCTGGGTTCAGTTTCTCCAGCGTAGATGAAACCAATTATCAGCAACGAACACAGGAAACAAAGTTGAACCAAGTACAAGCAAATTGTTACTTCAGCTGAAAGGACTGTTGTGGCCTTGGGCAGTAGGGAGAAAGGATGTTAAAAGATAAATGCATTGCATTTTCTGTACTTACTCATGGTACTGACCTGTGAATGGGAAGTTCTGTTAGCAGTAACTGAGGAGCTGACTAGTGTGGCATGAAGATTTCAGTCTCTGTAGAATGCTGGAAGGTGAGGAGAGGGAAGATGTGTTTGGAGTTCGCTGGTACCATCAAATTGGAGGTGCTGGAAATTGTGCAGGATGATCCATTAAATGTGAAGGCTGTTGCAGTGGAAGACGAGGAAAAGGGATCCTAACATAGTTTTTGGAAGGGAGGGAAACCGGTGAGAGCAGGACAGTGGGAAATGGAACAGAACTGTCTTCTGTACCAGCACATCTACTCTCACCCCTCCCAGTCATCCCAGAACCAGAATAGCCTTTGTGTGGTTCACATCTTCTGCTCCAATAGTGGGCACATTCATTAGATATTCTCTGATATTTCCGTCAGCCATTCCGTTTGATGTCATTCAAAACAGATTTTTCCCTCCCCTTCCAGCAGTCTGAAGGAATTGTTCCCTCTGCAACACCCAGGCCAACACTTTCATCACCACCATTACCCTCATTTGTGATATTTTTTCCAGATGGCCACTGCTGACACCTTGTGGTTTTTGCCACCTCTACCAACAGTTTGTGCTGGATATGAGATGTTTGAGGTAGTTCATTGTTACTAATCCTTGTTTGCCTTTGCTTTGTCTTGGCTGATCTAGTAATTAGTCATAGAGGATAAACCAGTATAGATACACTGTTCTTAGAAAACAAGAAGGTTTACGCATGATAGCAATAAGTACAACCATATTTGGTCAGGCATAATCGTTAGGAACTTACAGAACTAGTACAGATACATCTGCTCACTCCAAAAATTGGGGGCCTCATCTTTTGATTTGATATTTTAAGCTCAAGCTTTTCAGACTCAACAACAAGACCAACAATTTCAGATCATATCTTCAGAACTCATTTAATTAATATTTTTGTGATGTTTACACTTTTCCTCTCTACCAATCTTCTGTTTCTTTATTTAACAGTTTTTTTTAACTTTGTCTTGCACTATCAACCCTTTTTTCATTTAATTTCTCTTACTTTCCAAACTATCGCAAATCTTCCCTTTTGTCCTTTCTTCCCCCACCTGCTTCTGTCCTTGCTTAAAACCAATATTGCACCTCTCACCTTTTTCAGTTCTGATGAATGGCCTTTGAACTGAAAAGGTAACTTTATTCCTTTTTTCCCACAGATGCCGCCTTGCCTGCTTAGTATTTCCAGAATACTGTCTTTTTGTCGAAGCAAAGTTGCCAGGCATCCTCCAATGCCTTGCTTCAGTGACCATTGATCATGCGGGAACGTTGATTGGCAATTCAAGTGCAAGCAACATAACAGTCAAGGTTGCAGTTGGCCCTCTTGTTGGCACAGTGGTAGTATGCCTACCCCTAGACAGGGAGGCTTAAGTTCAAGTCCCACCTGCTATAGAAGTGTGTCATAGTATCCCTGAACAGGTTGTTAAGGAAGAATTGGTTAAATGATAAGGAAAAATAAGTCAAGCTTAATCCTACCCAAGCTGTGATGCACTTTCAGCAAATGTAGTGGATTGCAAGCATTAGCAAATTTCCTGACTGAAATGTTGCCTCCTTGAACCAAGGCAGCTTGGCCAATTGTAACATCTTTATATTGTTACATCAAGAGCATATTCTATGGCGGATATAGCAGTAAAATTGTGATCTTGCCAGCTGTCATGACTTGCTGGTAGCTTGTAGGTAACATTTGCTCATCTTTTTAAAGCAATTAGATTCAAGAGCAAAAAGACACTGTATAAAGGGAAAGTGTATTGAACTGCAATTTGCTGAGCAACTGTGGGATGTTGATATAATTTCTAATGCTTCTGACTCCATCAGGCAGCACTTGAGAAACATTACTACATAAGAATTCTGTTCGAATAATTTGCTTTAATTAATAGAGGCAATCGGTCCAGATTCAAGTATAAAAGGTCTATGCTGCTAAAACATATTCATAGTAAACTCAGTAAACCTCACACATAAATTCTCATTTTGGGAGAATCGGAGAAAATAATCCTGGGATGGCTGTCTGTCTAATTTCTCTTTGCAGCACTCTGCAGCATCACTATCAAATGATTATTCCCGTAAACTTTTAATCTTGAGATAATCGTACCATGGAGAATTTCACAAACTCTCATGCTAATCTCAAAACGTGTCATTTGTTTCATTTCACTATTATGATGTTCTTCTTCACTGCAACCTTTCATCTCAAGTATCTTCCAAAAACAGCTCATCTTCATATGGCAACCTCAATGTGCCAGTAGAAAGATAAAATATGTATTTTAATTTTCAGCAGTTTCGCACTTTTTTTGATGAGATAAAGTGCTTGAAGTGGCCACTCCATGCTGTGATTGGTAGAGTTCACAATTTCACACGAGAGACGCATTTTTGTGTATTGAAACCATTATTGAAATATTTATGCGCAACATGTCGCTGATAAAGCTATTTGAAGTCATAGGATGGAAGGAGTGTGGGCTTTACCTTTTTGGCAAGTGATCAGTGTGTGATGATTACATTCAAATGTCAATAAAATGCATAATAAACCACAGTGACAAACATATATAATGGGCCTAGGTTTCACAATGAGATAGAGGACAGGGTCTCTGGATTAACTAAAATGGTACCAGAGCCCCAATTCTGGAATTCATGCCCCCAAACCCAGCAGCCACTACTTTTAGCAGGAAGACAATGGGGGGGGGGAAGGGGGAATTACACAGTTTGGTTAATGGGGGTAGCTGCATAGGTTAAAGAATAGGTACTTTCAACCAAGTGTATTTTTCATGAGTATAATGTCCAAGGTTTCTAATTTCAAGAGAAGGTCAAAACTTGCTGCATTCTTTTGACAGGTTGAGAGCTCCAATTGATTAGAAAATCTTTGATGTATGAAAACAAATTTTTTTTTCCCTTAAGTGTTTAAATAATTGAAGGAATTTCAATGTAATGAATGGGATTTTATCAATGAGAGATTTTTTTTTGCAAAATAGTGAAGTTATTAACATAAACTTAGAGCTTTATTTACTTAATCTCAGCATGTGTCCTGAGGTATACCCATGGTGGATACTGGACGAGTTAGTATGAAGTGTGGAAGGGCAAAGGTTGGTGGGTAGAGGACAATGGATTGGCCTGAGTTGGCACTAAAGAGTCATGGGATCGGTAGAGGGGCATCAGTTGCAATGAAGGCTATCGGGAGGCTATGGGAGTGTATAGCATGGCACTGGTTCACATGGAGGTTATGAAGGGACATGGCGGCTGGTTAAGAGGCATAGGCTAGCATGAGTAGGGATGGATGCAGCATGATGAAACTGTGTGGTGGGGTTGGATGTGTGGGTGGGGATGAGGTGGTTTGTGAGGGTGTTTCCAGGATGACGTCTAAAAGTTTTTTTTTGCGTTTTAAAGTTCTCTTCACACAGCTCACTTCCTCACAGGGCAGCCTCAACACTGTATCCATTAGCAACAGTCCAACACCTCCTCCAAACTGCCTCCAATGCATTTACTTCCTTCTTTAAATGAGGAAATCAAAACTGCACATAGTATTCGAGATATGGTCTCACCAACACTCTGTTTAGCTGATGTATAATATCCTTAGTTTTATGTACAATATTTGTCCGAATAAAGGATAGCATCCCATTAGACTTCCTGGTTATGAACTGCACCTGAATACTAACTATTTGTGACTCATGTATCAAAACAACTAAATCGCCCTGCACTTCGGAATTCTGCAGTCATTCTCCATTTTAGTAATAATCTGACTTTTTTATTCTTTCTACCAAAATGAATAATGTCACATATCCAATATTATACTCCATATGTCAGATTTTTGTCCATTCGCTCACTCTATTTCTGCCATTAGGGAGGGAATTCCAGGTTTTTGACCCAGCAATGCTGAAGTAACAGCAATATATTTCCAAGTCAGGATGGTGAGTGGCTTGGAGGGGAACTTGCAGGTGGAGGTGTTCCAATGTATCTGCAGCCCATATTCTTCCAGATGGAAGTGGTCATGGGTTTGGAAGGTGCTGTCTGAGGATCTTTGGTGAATTTCTGCAGTAAGCCTTATAGATAGCACATACTGCTGTTGCTCAGCATTGATGGTGGAGCGGGTGGATGTTTGTGAATGTGGTGCCAATCAAGCGGGCTGCTTTGTCTTGTTTGATGTTAAGCTTCTTGTGTGCTGTTGCAGCTACTCCCATCCACACAAATAGGGAATATTCCATCACACTCCTGACTTGTGCCTTATAGGTGGTGGACAGGCTCTGGGGAGCCAGGAGGTAAGTTACTTACGTAGTATTCCTAGCCTCTGACCTGCTCTTGTGGCTACTGTTTTTATGTTGAGTTTCTGGTCAATGGTAAGCCCCTGAATATTGATAGTGGGGGAGCTCAGTGATGGAGCACCATTAAATGTTAAGGGGCAGTGGTTAGAATCTCTCTTGTTGGTGGGGACACGAATGTTACTTGCTGCTTGTCAGCCCAAGCCTGGATATTGTCCAGATCTTTTTGCATTTGAACACAGACTGCTTCAGTATCTGAGGAGTCACAATTGGTGCTGAACATTGTGCAATCATCAGCGAACATCCCCACTTTTTGTGGAAATTAAGGCTTACTTATAGGCCTCATCTCGCTGCCACTCAGATTGAACAGTCAGTAGAAATGGCCTATACCCAATTGCAACCTGTCAAGTTTGACATTACAGACTGTTAATCAGTGAAAGAAGGTACCTAATGTCAATTAGAAGACACCCTCATGAATGTCTCTCTGTGCATCTATGCTCCTCACCTGCCATGTCCAACATGCCGAGCATCCTTCTCACCAAGCTGGCAGGATGCCAGACTTACCTGGTTTATGGGGCATTCATACCTTTTTCTTCCTCCTGGGCCTCCTGTTGTACTGGCAGTGACCACCACTCTTAGTGACACAGAGGTACAGTAGTACCACCAGTCTCCAATCGGCTTCTGCTCTGTGATACAATAATTAAAGGCCTATTAACTAAAAACTTATGAACATAAGAATTAGGAGCAGGAGTAGGCCCCTCACTCCTTGAGCTAGCTACACCATTCAATGAAACAAAAGGGAAAAGACCTTGCCTGTATACCCTATCCATGCCCCTCATGACTTTATAAACCTCTATAAGGTCACCCCTCTGTCTCTGACGCTCCAGGGAATATAGCCCCTGCCTATTCAGCCTCTCCCTACAGCTCAAATCCTCCAAACCATGGCAACATCTTTGTAAATCTTTTCTGAACCCTGTCTAGTTTCAAAACATCATTCCTGTAGGAGGGAGACGAGAATTGCATGCAATATTCCAAAAGTGGCCAAACCTTGTCCATGTACAGCTGCAACATGACCTCCCAACTCCTATACTCAATGCACTGACCAATAAAGGCAAGCATACCAAACACTTTTTTCACTATCCTATCTACCTACAATTCCACTTTCAAGGAACTATGAACCTGCACTCCAAGGTTTCTTTGTTCAGCAACACTCCCCAGGACTTTACGATTAAATGTATAAGTCTTGTTCTGATTTGCCTTTCTAAAATGCAGCACCTTACATTTGTCTAAATTAAACTCAATCTCCCAATCCTCGGATCATTGGCCCATCTGATCAAGATCCTGTTGTACTCTGAGGTAACCTTCTTCGCTGTCCACTACACCTCCAATTTTAGTGTCATCTGCAAACTTACTAACCATACCTCCTAAGTTCACATCCAAGTCATTTATATAAATGAGAAAAAGCAGTGGGCCCAGTACTTGTGGCAAACAGCTGGTCACAGACCTCCAGTCTGAAAAGCAACCCTCCACCATCACCCCCTGTCTTCTACCTTTGAGCCAATTCTGTATCCAAATAGCTAATTCTCCCTGTATTCCTTGTGATCTAACATTGCTAACCAGTCTAGCATGAAGAACCTTGTTGAATCCCTTACTGAAGTCCATATAGATCACGTCCACCACTCTGCCCTCGTCAATCCTCTTTGTTACTTCTTCAAAAAACTCAATCATGTTAGTGAGACATGATTTCCCATGCACAAAGCATGTTGACTATCCCTAATCAGTCCCTGCCTTTCCAAATACATGTAAATCCTGTCCTTCAGGATTCCTTCCACAACTTGCCCGCCAATGATGTCAGGTTCACTAGTCCACAGTTCCCCGGCTTTTCCTTACCACCATTCCTAAATAGTGGCACCATGTTAGCCAATCTCCAGTCTTCTGGCACCTCACCTGTGGCTATCGATAATACAACTATCATCAATTTTCTATCCATGTCAATACATTACTCCTGACATGGTGAGCTTTGGTTTTTTACAATAGCCTTTAATTACCACCTTTTCAACTGCCTTCTGGAAGTCTAAATCCACTGGATCACATGAATTGCACATAATGCTTCCTCAAAGAGCTCCATTATTATGGTTAAATATGATTTCCTTGTCACAAAACTATATTGACTCTCCCTGATTACATTGAACCTATTCAGGTGCACAGCTCTAAAATGTCTTTAATAAAAGCTTCTGATATCTTCCCTGTGACAGATGTTAAACCACCTGGTCTGAATTGTTCTGCTTTCTGTTTCCCCCGCTTTTTAAATATCGGAGTTACATTAGCTATTTTAAGTAGAGTGAGCCAGCCCAGTGGAGGCAGGTTTGCCCTCAAATTCAAAGAAGAATGCAGAGAGCTTGGTCTCAGCATTTAGTCTAACCCTTGGTTATATTTTGATATTTATTCCGATCTATTCAGTTTTGCATCTTTAAGTTCATTATTACCCATCTCATGTTGATTCCTAGAGCATTACAATTGGGGAGAAGTCAAGTTATATCTAAGTTAGCAGAAACTGATGTTATATTTGCCACATAATTTCTCTGCACACAAATTTTAAATTAATTCTGATTCATCCATATCCTATAGCAATTTATCAGCATGGAAATACAGGTTTATACTGCTGGTATAACTCATATCTGGGGAAGCAGCATGTTCTGAATTAAAACAGCTTTCCACTTTGTTGAATAAGGATGCTTTGTGAAGCTTGTCTGAGGCAAAGATGAGAAATTGAAGAACGATATGAAGGTATTCATCCATGTCTTGAGGCTTTGAGGAGATAATGTTCGGGCCACCATATTTATAGTCTGAAATTAGTTGAAAAGATTAAGTGAACCAAATAACCATGGTAACAAAATGATCAGGAGGTTGAAATGGACGAAGTATATATTCTTACCTCCAAGTTAACCTGGTGTCAATTTGGTGTCTTTTTTGATGTATTGTGATTTGCTAGTTATATACGTAAACTGAGGTCAAAGGTACAATTTGCATAAGAACTTTGAATAAATATCCAAGTGCAGTAAGTCATTCTGGAATTGTGGATTATAATGTATATTAATCTTCCAGAGAATTGTGAGCTCCATAATGAATTTTATAGTCATACTTGGATAGTGTGATATGATTTACCTAAGTATTTGAACTTTGTTTGCTACAGTTGATGTCTATGGTATTTAGAAAATCATCATGCATTCAGGTTAATATGATTTTGGGAAAGCAAAATCATTTTTGTGAATATATTAGAATTCTTTGAGAAAGCAACCAGCAGAGTGGCTAAAGGGGTATCTGTGGAGATTGTGTATTTGGATTTCCAAAAGATATTTGATAAGGTGCTACTGCAGCAAATAAGAACTTTATGATGTTGGGGTGTTATACTAGCAAGGATACAGGATGCACTACAAAGTAGGCAAAGTCAAGATAAATTGAACACTTTCAACTTGACAAACTGCAACGAGTAGAGTGCAAAGGAGTCAAATGTTTGCAAATGTTTGATTTTTTATTTTAGGTGAGGTGACTGAATATATTGTGGCCAAATGTGCTGATAATACAAAGATAGAAAAGCAATTTGTGAAGAGGATTAAAAGAGTTTACAAAGGAAAAGTTTAGTGAATGACCAAAGATTTGGCAGATGTAAGGTACTTTGGGAAAATATAACATCCACTTTGACAGGAAGAATGGAAAAAGCAGAATATTATTTAAATGGAGAATATTGTAGCACAAGAGTTTCGATGTTCTTGAGTTACAAAAAGTCAGCATACTGACACAACAAATGGAACGTTGCCATTTATTGCAAGGGGAATGCTGAATAAAACTAAGAAAGTCTTGCTACAATGGTACAGTGCATTGGTGAGACTACACCTAGAGTCCTCTGCGCAGGTTTGATCTCTTTACTTAAGGAGCATTGAAAGCAGTATATAGAAGGATCACAATGCTGATTTCTGGAATGCAGGGGTTGTTTTACGAGGAAATATTGAGCATATTGGGCCTATTCTCATTGGGATTTAGAAGGAGAGGTGATCTTATTGAAAAAAGTAAAAGATTCCAAGTAAGTTTTGACAAGGTAAATGGAGAGACGATGTGACAGTTCATGGTGAGTCTATTTAGAGGAGGGCAGAATTTCAAAAATAATGAGCCTCACACTTAAGAGGGTAATAACGAGGAATCTCTTCTCTCAGACGGTCACAAATCTTTGCAACCATTTTCTCCAGAAAGCAGTGGAGTTTGGATCATTGAATATTTCAAGGCTGAGCCGGACAGATTTTTGATCTACAGGGAAGTCAAGAGTTATGAGGCGCAGGCAAGAAAATGAAGGTAAAGTTACAATTAGATTAGCCGTGACCTTATTGAATGATGGAGCAGGCTCGATGGGCTTAATGACCTACTTCTGCTCCTATTTCCGATAATCTTGTGATCATCTAAAAGTGCCTCATGTACAATGAATTAATTGGGTTGTAGTGTCCGTATCCTGTAAGCAAACAAAGCCACCATCACTTGGGCATCAAGAAGTGAATAATTAGATAATCGTTTTGTTGGTCATGGCTGAGGGAAAAATGTCTCAGGAAATTAGAAATTCACTATCTCACTGGACCCCCATTTTCAAAGCAGTGTTGAGAGGTCTTTGTCCTTACTGAACGTGCAATAACCTCAGTACCGCAGCAAAGCATAAATGTGCACAAATGGTGGAGCAGGGTGCAAAACTGACAAGAGGCTGGCACATCACTGACTGTAGTAAGACAACATCCCAATTATAAACAAAAACTGTTCGATTTACAGCACAGAAACAGGCCATTCATTCAAACTGCCCGTACCAGTAATTTTGCTGCACATAAGACCCCATACCTTACTTTATCTTATTTTAACAACATATTTCTTCTCTTATGTATTATCCTTTCTCCTTTCGGTGTATCCACGCCACTGGAAAAAAATCCTTTTCAAAGATTCTGAAGAAAATCTCAAGGAAATCAATCTTTAAGACCCCTGTTGTATTCTATTCAGCACACCTTTAAGGAACAGAAGTATTGCTGGAATTAATTGTGGCACCTATAGTTTGAACATCATGGACTCTGTTGAAAGGAATACCTGACAGACAAGGCTACATCACTGGAACTTGAATAAACTAAAGCAAAAAATTCTGCAAACTTCAACATAATCTCCAGCAGGTTACAACTGGCTTGTCAACACCCCCTTCCCAGAACTGGATCTTACTGAATGTCTGGAGCTATGGAAATTAAAATCCGGCAGATGCTATTAATCCGAAGTGAAAAGAAAACAGAAAGTGCTGGCGAAACTCACCAGCATCTGTGGAGACAGAAATTAGTTTTAATGTTTGAAGCCAGTTTGGGCTTGAAAGGTTAACTTTCTTCTCTCTCACCATCAATGTGGCCAGACATACTGAGTTTCTCCAGAACTTTCCATATATTGTTCTATATATGGAATATATAGAACTTTCTGTTCTATAGGTTCCATATATATGGAATATATTGTTCTAGCTGACACCCAACCCAGTTAGCCGACTGCAGAACGGACAGAACTGATGAGCACAAGCACAGAATTAAAGGAATATTTAATTACCCCACACATCATCTAACTGCGTGCTGAATCACAGAATCACGCCGGACTGTGGAAGTAACACAGCCCGTCATATCTGTGAAAGAACTGTGCAATCAATCTCACTTCACTGCTGCCTCTAATATTCAATTATATCTGAACGGATGACGATCTGCATTTGCTGAAAATTACGTTTGCAACAGAGACAAGCCTCCAGCGGCCTAAGCATTCCACATATGATCGCTTTTTGTATGTAAATTCCATCCCCTTCCCTCCACAGCAGCCCTACATTGTTTGTTTATTTTCAAAATATTATGTAAATACAAGCAAAGCACGGTAGTACAAGAACAGGACATCTCGAGTTCCAAATACAAAACGTTTTTCAAAGTTTAACTGAGGAGTTACCCTACTTTCCTCTTTTAACACCTAGGTAAAAAGGTCAAGTTTTTTTGCAGGGATGGAGGCGCCTGGAGATAAATAATTTTAAAAAAATATAGTGGCCTGAATTGCACTATCACACTGGTGGGTTAATAGTTACCCTAACCCACAAAGAGAAGCAACATCTTCCATAACAGGAGTATCGGGGAGGTTCCTCTGATATCTTCAGGTATGGAACAATGAACGCTGCTGTAGTTTTTTTTTAAAAGTCTACAGCAAACACTGATAATCAAAGTTTCGTTTCTGCAATTAAATTAAAAATCGCTATTTACACAGATCAACACATGTTGCCGTAAATTGTATTAAAATTTGAAACCAATCTAACACGAAAAAGACTAAATAAAAACAGAAAGAACTGCGGATGCTGTAAATCAAAAACAAAAACAGAAACAAAACAAAGGCTGTGCAGAGATATACCTTAAGCAACTTTCTTTAAACAAAAACAGCCAAATTTAAAGTTGGTAATGCACGGTGAAACATTCCGGTCCATACCAACTACATCACAGCTAACACTCGAGAGCAGGGCAGACTTGAGAAGGTTATGTGACGCCGATAGGGCTTACTACCCGGACTGCACAACACTCGAGAGAAACTGATACCGGTCCTTACCTGTGTATTTAGCCCAATGTAGCAGCACATCACTCCCAGAGCACTCAGTACAGACCGTCCCCTCATCCTGCAGCGACCAAGTGCAAGCTTTATTCAGTCTCAATCACTGTCCATCTCCCACACCGAGCTCCTCTAATTCCTTCTTAACACTTCCCAAAACTTGCAGAAACGGCATGAGTCAAGTTGTGGCGATAGGCAAACGGTAGCCTGGGTGGGACTTTGCTTCGTGCGCTGCACAACAAGAATCGTTTGCATTGCTCCTCGCCACTATCAGGCTGAGAAAGGATGGCTCACCATTCTCCAGAATATCTCCCGTTATCACTTAATGGAGCTGAAAGAGTTTACCGAGCACAGCAAGGAATCTGGGTTCCACCCCGACCGTCCGAACAAAAAGTTTGAAAGCCTTCTCTCTGTGAACCTAACTCTGGATTTATGATATTTTTCCTTAGAGTTTCCGAGGGTGAGGGCGGTCAATCATTGTGGGATAAAGCCACGGTTGGAAAATCCTTCGAAAAGCAGGTAGTCCAAACTCATACGTTTCACACAGTGGGAAATGTGAGGTGCGAGGACCCGACTCTCTCATCATTCATTGGGTAATATTCAAAGCAGAGAAGGAACAATACAGTGTTGGGACTGTGTTTACCACAGTGCCATCTCCTGCATAAAGCAAGACATTACTCAAAATAACAATGAAATACTGTATAGAACAGAGTACGACGACTGAATTAAATAATTCTTCAGTGGAACGGGCAGGAAGTAATAATAGTCCCCTGATAAATAATGTTTTCCTTTGCATTAAATTTCAAACCCATTATTAAATTTTTAAAACAAGTGATTGAACAATAGTGGGCTTTGTGGATAAATTAATAAATTTTGATTCCAAATTTCCCTCTTTTACCAAACCAAAAGAACTGCAGATACTGGAAGCTGGAATGTTCACATTTTTCCTCAGCTGAGGATTCCCCAGCACCGTTTTTGACAGGGCCCTCAGCTGGCTGGGGCCCATTTCCCACAC